CACGTCTCTTATATATACTCAGAATTTTTAGAAGCGTTTATAAGAGGGCAAAAAAATTTAAGAATATAGGGGTTATCACAAGTAGTCTTAGATTTTGAGAGAGCGCATTGGTTGGCCGAATTCAAGTTAGAATAATTTCTAATATTAGGTACGGCCAACCGTTCGAGCGATATGGTACGAGTTGTACAAGAGCACATGCTCATAAAATTCGTACTTTTTTTGCCATTGCTCCAATTTTTATGGAGCATGTTTTGTCCACGCGGGGATTTTAAATACTAATAATCACAACAACAATAAGTGACATTTACCTCACATAATCACGGGAATAATAATTACATAACTAAATTAATAAATAATGACATTAATAAGTACATACGGCAATTAAATCTAATCACACCAATCATGCAGTATAATATACCTTTTATACCCTTTCGTCAAGGTGCTATAGTGCTATTCCTAGGCAAAGTTTCTTCGCAGGACGTAAGCATGCTGGCTAGGCGCATATTTGGGAGGTCCGAGTTCCAATCCCCGTGCCGACCATCGCGACCGGGGTTTTTGTCATCCAATCGAATGCTGGGATGGTTCAACTAAAAGGCCACGACTTGGAAACCGTCGCATGCCGAATTCGTTAACAGATGACCTCATGAAGATTAAGCGAGAATTCGTGACATCGCGGATTCCTGGATGGGTGACTGACTAGAGACAGGATCTAACAATGCGGAGGCCAATTGTCCTTTATGGGACATGTAATGGCTAAATACAAATAAAGTCCCAGTGCTACCGCCACGTGAGCAAATGTAGGAAAGTAGGATGTCTTCCTGTCCAGACTCATGTTATTTCTTTCTAACATACTACATTTGTCAAGAAGATATGTTCATCATATATTTTATCAGAATAAAGATAAAAAATACTGGATTTGAATAAATAATGAACACATACTTATTATTGTTCAGAATATCAACAAGACAAAAATGATAAAAGAATTCTATAAAACAATAATATTACTCGCGCAAGTTTTCTTGAGACACGAGCTCCATAGTTCTCACCCAGCGCTGAATAGCACGGCACGATGTGATACTTAGGTTCGACTCGGAACGGCTCGTACCAATTTACAATGCTGGTAACACTCACCTCGTACTTTCGAAACAATCGTAGCATTTCTCGTGGCAGGCTTTTGTGAGCTAAGTTAGTGCCCATAGTTGGTACGCCCTTAAAAGGGTCGTGATGCAGCCAGTGCCTTCCTCCCCCCGCATCCCCTGGGGGATATTAAGAAAAAAATATATTATGCATATCAAAGGTTTCTTCTTACAAAATGAATAATAATTTTATTAATAATACGATAAGTTCCAATAAGCCAAAATTTAAAAAATATATATTATAAAAAATGTGCCAAAATTGCGCCCCAGTTCGCCTACAGATAGCACAGCCCCTGTAGGTATACCAATGTTAAACCCTCCCATGTGCATCTTGAGACAAAGATGTTGTAGCTCTTCCCTTTTGCATTTCATACGATGTCTTAGCAACTCTAGTGTAACTATACTTGGGTTTTTATTTCTTGGCGCGTGGGGGATTGTCTTCACGATGGAATATCTCACGGCATTCGCGTCTTTCTCGGCGTGCCGCAAGAGGCCGCATGACCGCGACCGAATAGAGAAGCGTTGGAGGTCAGGCGACATCGCCAGCACTGCTCGATAAACTGGCAGCAAAGCCTAATTTCTGTTCAGTTCATGATAATGATGAAGCGATCAAACAAAATTTGATGATTTTGTTACAAACATTGATAGTAGAGTTCAAGAGAAATAAACTAGTAGTGTTGAAGGGAAACGTGTCCAATTGTATACAATTGTAAACCTCGACCAGAGTTTGAGAAATAAATCGTAAAATTTGATCACTAATTGTTGTATTTTTAAAAGTATTTTAAAATATTATTTTGTATCTAAATTGCTTTTATGAAAGTATTTTCTATTTGATATCTAAAATATTTTCGACGAAGTATTTTGTATCTGAAATACTTTTTTAACACGGCGAGTGCGAAACGCGATTTCTCGTACTTGTTTTTCGTGTGCGAAACATATGTAACGATTCGAAATTGTCTTTCGTCTTAGTTCACTATTTTCAATGTGTTACGACACTGACTAGAATCCATTTACTTTTATACAAGTAAGGTATTTCTAGTTACTTATTATTTCATTTATATTCCTTTATTTGACGCATTGCATTTCGCTCATAGCGTGTTAAAAATAGCATGCGCAGCACGAGTGCGAGGTGATTCACCCACTCCTCGCTGCGCCCGGACGACAAACTCGACTCGTGCGTGAATCACCTGTTTCGCGCCTTTGTTAGGCCCGCAACAGACTCCGCCGAGAGCTGCGTCGCGAGAAACGAGGAAAGAGGCCGGTAAGGCTGCGTCCACGCACTAGTCATGTCATTCGATGACTCGACATGCTTTATGTGCCACAAGCCGAGGGTGGTGGCAGCAGTAGCTACGAGATCAGCTGCGAGTCCCATTTCTTGTTTTATTAAATGCTCTTGTGTAATCTTTACCCCATGAAATCCTTGTTTCATTGCCATAATTATAAATCATATATTTGAGTTCGAATTGTCTAAAGAGAAACATATTACTGCATTGCATACAAATGATTATTTAATATAAAATCAGGAATGTATGTGAGGTATTATAGGAGAGAAGTAAAATCTGTGCATATTCTCTTGATGTCCATAATCTTTACCCCCCTCTGCTACTATATTTGTTGGTCAAATAATGAATGCGTGCATGATCAAATAATTCATAATAAAATTCACAATTAATATATTTATTCATAAATAATAAATACTAATTAAGAACAATAATAAATTAATTCAATTCTTTCAAAATACCCCTTCAGATTCTTGCTTCAAATTTTTTTATTTTTATATTACTCATTATGAACGGGTTTCATCCAAGTAAGACTATCTTCCACACGTTTTTTCTGGTTCAATTAAGCAATTAAAAATCTGGTTGCTTATCACATCTTTTACTGCTAAGTATTAAAACCTCATTCATTTCTATGCACTGTTTAGTATTTTCCTGCGGGAGCGAATGCCTAAACGCCGTGTCATAAACGAAGGAGTAGAAATATGTCCCAGAATACGTTTTCGGCTCCGCGGAGGCCATGGTGGAAATACATGGGCGAGTTCCTCCGGCGCACCGATTTTTGCTCGTTCTGCGCAGCGCCTCTTTTGCGTCAGGAACCACGTGAC